AGGAATATGCCTTAAATTATGATAGGATCCGTAGTACGATTTCAGGTGCATTCCTCAATTAGGGGATATTGGAGTCTTTGGCTTTAAGGGTGTTGGGGTCAGGGAGGTGTCGCTCGATGAAACCAAGTTCCCGGACGGCTTCCTTCTAATATACCGATAGACCCAGAACCTCGGAATATAGTCGGGGTTGGTTTAGTGTTTAGTTGTTAGGCATTTAAGGTTTTGGAAGGATAACTCCTAGGTTCTAGATAACCCGCTTCAAGCAAGGATGAAGGTGGCAACTATGTTACAGTGTTCGTACAACATGTAGACAGCACAGGCAGTAAGTACCTTTAAGCGTCTTGGAAAAGCTCTCAAATTCTCTAAGGGTCCATGTACTCATCTAGTATATACATTAGCCTTAAAATACTCCCTATGTACTGGTAGGTACATTGGGCTCGAAGTATATACTATTTGGGTACATGGACCCTTAGGGATTGTTTTTGCGGGCAGGACGTGAGGGTGCTGCGGGTTTATAAGTCAGCGGCTGGAGAAGGTACACGCGTTTGGACATGCGGCCTGCATACCCAAAGGGCCCAAGTACCATTACATAGTAGGCACTTAGTCGGTATTCAGGCCCCAAAGTATATAATTTACTATTACTTGGACCCTTTGGGATAGTGTTTAGTGGTCTAGGACCTCGAACATTTAGATGCTGAAGACCAGCTGGACATCCTAGTTTGTGCATCATGTCCAGATACTTCCGCAGAGGAACGGGAGCTGTCCGGCCAAATCCAGAACCGGCTCTGCTTGCATATCCAGCAGTTCACAATCCGCCAGCAGTCGGCATGCTGCAGCCGGTTTAGGGTATAGGGTTTGAAGGTTTAGGGGTTTAGGGTTTAGGGGTTTAGGGTTTAGGGTTTAGGAGTTTAGGGTTTAGGGGTCAGTGCTCAGCTTGGCGGCTTGCGCTAGGTGTCCAGGCATGCCATCGACCGACATGCAGAGCCGGACCCCAGGCCCTGGAGTCCGCCTACTTGGAGGGTCGGGGGACTTAGTACCTATAAGGAGTTCCTTTAAAGGGGTCCTTTAAAGGGATCTATAGGGATTCTATAAGGGTTTAGGGTTTAGGGGACTTAGTAACAGGTTATTTTAGGGACTTATAAGTACCATAACCCCAATCAGGGTCCCTTTTAGGGTACTTATAAGTCTACTTACTACCTACTTACTAAGTCCCCCGACCCTCCAAGTAGGAGGTGAAGCCGGGCAAGGCCGCCTCGTGCAGGACGACCTGGAGTCGCTGAGCCAAAAGCTCACCTTTGGTTAGTAGGGAATGGTGGAATGGGGTACAGTTATAACTACCATTACTACCATTCATCCATTCCCTACTACAAAAAGGTTTGAAAGATCACAGACTTTACGCGAAGCGCTGCCGCCATCCGGAAGCTGACCGCCACTTGGCGGATTCTTTGGCAGGCTCGACGTGTCAGCTGGAGGTTGACAGTCAGCCAGTTCAGCAGACTTGTGCTAGACGATTGCTGCCTAAGCGTCAGCTTACCCCAAAATCGCACCTAGAATTTAAAAGCCCTATACGAATCAGTAAGGCTTCCATTACGCCTTTTTTGAAATGCAAGCGGCTAGCGAGCAAAACACTATAATAGCACCTTGAAACAGGCCCTAAGCCCTAAACCCGAAACCGAATGAAAGCCACAACTTGCTCATGGAGTTTCAGCCCCTGGAGCAACAGCTCAGAACCCAAACACCCCATGCACATCTCATTCCCCAGGCTCCATGTGCGTACAAAGTATGTATACTTAGGTCTTCAAAGTAGTCCTTATATAGGTACTTTAAGGCATGAGCATATACTGTACAAGCACACGAAGCCTCAGAGGTTTCGATCCCTCAAACTTCATAAACGGCCCCGGATCCCGAACGCCGAAAGCCCAATGCCCAAGCCCGTTGCCTGATGTGGGAGTTTCCGAAAATGGGGGGGCCCTAATATAGTACCCCAAGTAGTAGGATCCTTGTTATAAGGATCCAAAATGACCCCACATTTTCGGAAACTCCCATGTGTCGTGGGGTTGCCGAGTCTGCGCAGTAAATGCACGGCTTAGGGTTCAGGGATTTAAAGGTTTAGGAGTTTCAGGTTTAGGGAAAATGCATTCAGACTAAGGAGAAGCTGCTGCCAGCCCTTTGCATGAGGCTGAGTGAGCTACTACTGGCACAAAGGCAGGTAAACCCCAAATCCTAAACCCTAAGCCCTGAACCCGTTGGGATTCTGAGTTTGGGAATTCTTCCGTGCCGACCCCGGGGCTCAAAGCAATTTCGGGGCTCAGAGCCTTAGCGATCAGACGATCACCTAGTTATGTAGTTCTCAATGCAAGGTAACATATATTGAAGGTTTGGATGTAAAGTAAGATTTTATGGCCATTTCAGTACCCTCCGAAACAAGTTCGTTGCTGATTGCGGGAGGAACCTTGCCTCAGATGTTCATCCTGAGTCGGTTCTTCTTCCGACGGTTTCGTCGCAAGTAATGAGAAGTACATTGGTTATGGTTTGCCAGTCGCCGTTTCTGATTCTTTTACCTTCACTTCATGTTTTTTTGCGATGGTTTGCTGAGGTACTTCTATGATGACACAAGAACAAACTTTCTTATGTACATGTGCTATTCTCATTCTCGCGATGACGAAGACCGTGCATTGTTCGGATGGTCTCATGCCTCTTGGTGTTGGCAGCATCGATGATGGTGTGGGATCCGGTCCACACCGTAGTAGTTGGAATACGGTGTGGGGAGTATGTCATACCAAAGCTATGATAAGGAACACTTAGGACTCCTAAACCCTAAACCCTAAACTTAGGACTATCAGTAGTTCGGGCTTCTACATAAATTCCTTTTCTCGGGGGTTACCGGAAGAAGGAGCTCCATTCCAGCGTCGGATATAGGGGTCGGAATCCTCACCAATAGTGCTCCTTGAGGGTTCCTTCTCTCACAGCTTGAGTATAACATACTCCACGCCCCTAAACCCCTAAGCCCTAAACGCCTAAACCCCAAACCCCTAAATACCCCTAAACCCTAAATCCTCAACCCGAATACCATCCTAAACCCTCCCTATTCTAACTCTGAAGGTCCCTGTATTACTTACAGGTTCATGCGTGGTTATAGGTGGTGTTATAAGTCCCCCGATATGGGTTATAAGTGTAGTTACCTTACTCATAACCCTACCATTATAACTACCCATGAACCTCCAAGTCGGCCCTGCACCCTATACCCTTAAAGAATGGCTATAGGGACCCTTAAAGGAACCCTTATAACTAACTACCCATGAACCTCCAAGTAGGGCCTTGGAGCCGACGCCAGGCGCGAGGTAGAAGGCCTGGCTCAGCCCTCATCGCCGGAAGTGGCCGGGGCACTTATAGGCTCGCAGCATTCGGGTTTAGGGGGTTTGGGGTTTACCTAGACCCCCCAACTACCCTATTGTAGTCCCTAATTACCTCTTAATGAGAAAGGTTAGAGCCCTTTAAAGGGTGCTTGGGGGGTGCTGGTAGGGGTTTGGGGTTTAGGGTTTAGTGAAGTTTCGTGTTGAATTTTTGGTTTTCGGTTTTCTCAGCTCGAACCCGGGCAAGCCAGCTTCTTTCAGCTCTGTGGCTTCAACTCAGCCCCCAGACTCCTGCTTGAGTGGCAAAGCCTGATCCTTTAATACCCCAAAGCCCCAGATACTGAACCCAAAGTCGAAGCTGCACCGAATCACTTACCTCCGAAATTGGCAGCTTAAGTCCTAAACTCCACAGACGAGGCCTTAAGCCCTAAACCCCCCAGTGTCGCATGAATTGCTACATGAAGCTCCGTCCCGGGACCCTAAGCTAAACGGTATACCTTAAACCCTGAGCCGTGACCTTTCACCCCAAACCCTTCACCCTAAATCCTAAACCCTGAAGCCTGTTTGTTGAAATTTCGACCGCGACCTTGCAGTGAAGAGGCTCGAAGTTGGAGCCTTGCCGTAGGAAGCCAAAGTACCAGAGCAAGAGCCCTGTGCCGCTCCTACCGTTAGTGCAGCTGCCACCCTATCTCATAACTATATGACTGTTAAAAGCATGCGTGGTCGTTGCATGTATGTATACGAAGGTGTATGGTCAAAAAACTAAAGATGGCTGCGTTTTCTGATTATTATTACTACTACTACTACTACTACTACCACTACCACTACCACTACCACTACCACTACCACTACCACTCTCACTACCACTCTCACTACCACTGCCACTGCCACTGCCACTGCTACTGCCACTGCCACTGCCGCTGCCACTGCCACTGCCACTGCCACTGCCACTGCCACTCCCACTGCCACTACCACTACCACCACCACCACCACCACGACTACTACTACTACTACTACTACTACTACTACTACTACTGCTACTGCTACTGCTACTGCTACTGCTACTGCTACTGCTACTGCTACTGCTACTGCTACTGCTACTGCTACTACTACTACCACTACTACTGCTACTACTGCTTCTACTGCAACGACGACACGACCACGACCACGACCACCGCCACCACCACCACCAGCACCACCACCACCACCACCACCACCCCCGACGCCGCCGCCACCACCACCGCGCCGACCACGACGACCGCGACTACCACGACGACGACGTCGACGAGTGCTACGCTCTTTTCTACTCGACCAGTGAGAATCAGCGGCAGCAGTTGTGTTTTACGGTTAACTAGCGCTGGTACATTGACATATAATAGACATAGTCGTGCCACTTCTCATAGAGTATTCATGTAGGATGCCCTTTTATTCCTCCGAGCCCTATATAGAAACATGGTCGCAGCGAGAAGTTTAGCAAGAGAGTGCCCTAAACGATAAACCCTAAAGTTCACTCGGAACCTTCGATCGGTTGTGATTGTTTAAATGCATCTTGAGGCTGCAAGCTGCACAGTAGTCTTCATCCCCGAACCTTCGCTGTTGCCTTGGTACTTTGTGCGAAGTCACTAGGAGTTTGTGGGATTTTCTGCCATGCCGGCCCTTTTCTTGGCAGCCCGGACTATGCTGGTTTTGAACTGTTGGTGTGGATTTTGGGGAGGGGTTCAACATGTTTCAAGTCTTTATTTACAGCCTTGAGCTTTGAAGGTTGGGAGCTTTGGGATTGGGCCTCTAAAAAGCTCTAAACCTCCTTTGGTTTAGGGCCTAGGGGTTTGAACATAGGCCTTGGGGGCTGCTAGGGTGTAGAGTGCAGGAGGGTTATGGGTTTAGGGTTTGGTGGCAGCGGTTGATACATCCCTTCCGGCACTGGGCAGTGAACTCTGTTATTGCTTTTGCCGGTTTAGGGCTCGACTGCTGTCCTATTTGGGTGGGAGGTGTTATCCGTGTTGTCACTTTTGGGCGATCTTCCTCGGTCCTAGCTCTGGCCCTTGCTTTTGCTCCTGCTCTTGCTCTCTCCTGGCTCTTGCTTCTGCTCTTGCCCTTCAACGGACACTTTCTGTGGCTCCTGCTCTTGCTTTCGCATCTGCGCTTGCTCCTGCTCTGGCTCTTGAAGCCCTGTTTCAAAGCTGCCTTCAAAAGGCTGCGAAGATTTCTGGATGAGATCCCAGAAGTTATTGCCATTTTTGGCTGTGTCTAATAGAAAGGGCACTGCTATTTTCTGGCCGAAGTAGTCGAGAATAGAAGCTTGCACTCTCCGGTGTGGTTCCTCGGTTTTTGCTAGCTGCTAGTTATTTGCCTGTATTCAAAGGGTCCGATTCATAAAGCTCCATGGCCAAAGCGCAGCAGTAGAGTAGGTAACCTTCAACCTTTTTGGTGTGGGTACAATAATGCCCATATTAATCTTTTTTTCCCCGGGATACGAGACAAGTAGGAGAACAGAATCGCACTGGGGAGCGTAGGTAAGCAGGTCGAAACTGGTGCTGACGCCACAGCTTAACCCTCAGCCTCAACAAATACTGTTACGCATTCTTATTCTTACTTTGCATAGTTATTGTTATTGGTACTATGTTTACTTATGGTTGTTCTTATTGTTAGTGATATTGTTATGATTAGCATTGCGAGTATTGTTAATGTTATTATGAATAGAACTATGACTATCATGCTTTCCTTAGATGAGTCCTTACAAGGGCAAGGGGTTTGGGGCTAAGGCAGGGCCCGATAAAGCAGTGGAAACTTAACGCGGCAGGCCCTAAGTCCCCGAACACCCGAAACCCTAGAGTATTTAGAACCCTGCGCCCTACACTTACCCTCCTGCTTACTTCTTCAATTCTTGCAGGTCGCAACCCGGAGAGCCTGACGTACTACGCCAGAACCCCCAAACCCTAAACCTTCAGTCCCAAGTCTGCAACCACCTATGCCCCAGACCTTAGACCTCTGCACGAAAAGCCTCTGAATCCCAGAACCCCTCAACTCCGAGCCCCTACATGGAACTCCAGAAAGTTGGAATATGGTTTCAGGGTAAAATATCCTATAATTTACTATAAAGGGTTTAGGATAATCATATTCCAACTTTCTGGCTTTTACTGTAAGCCCTTGAACCCAAGAACCCCAAACCCACAAGCCGCCAATCTCCTAAACCCTCTCGCTCTAACCTCTTAGGCGGTTGTTTCATGCTGCTTCTTTCACCTCGGTTCTGCGGAGATGCCCAGCGATAGCGAGGTAACTCTGCTCTTTTAAGGAAGAGAACTTAGGGGTACTTAGAAACATTTTTACTTTTTGGTTTTTATCATCCTTAAGAAACAGCAAAGATCATAACTTTTGCTAGGGTTCTAAGTTCAGTATAGAGAAGCTCCATGCTTTGGGGGGTGGATTAGGGCTTACAAGGCTCGGCTTTTCATTGAGGGCCTTAGGGTTCATAAGCGTTAATTTCGGATCTCCGATTGAAGCATTTTGGGGATTTGTTTAGGGGCTTCAGAGGCTTGGGGCTCCGGGCCTGACGTCTTTTTACTAGGCTTTGGGGGTTTATAGAGTTGTGGGTTACCTATAGTCTCCATATACGTCTCCATTGTAGTTCCTTTTTTGGGGTTTAGCCAAATATATAATTAGGATCCTATGAGGTAACCCCAAAAAGGAACTACAATGGAGACTACAGGTAGGGCTTGAAGGTCTTCAAGGTGGATGCTATCGGGTGTTCTGGGTCTTCGTGCTTTGGCGGTGGAGGAGCTCTTTCGATGTTTTTTGGTGCCTGGGAGACCTAAGGGACCCTAAACCCTAAACCCCTAAACCGACCCTAAACCCTAAACTTACATAGTCTTACAGACTGGAGTTGAAGCATTTATGAGGGCTCTCGGATCGATATTTAGTCGGGGCTTGCGGAGTGAAGTTTTGCAACGTGTGGTTGTTGCTGCTGGGGTTAAGCCTTGTGAGGTGTGGAGTCTTTGTTGTTGGGATGTAGCATGTCTGGATCCCCAATGGCTGGCGCACTGGTTCCGAAAGTTCGTTCAGCGAACAGCAACTGCGGGGCGCAGAGATAAACTTGACACTGTAAGTTGCGAGCGTTGGGCAAGTCACGCTGATATCTGTTTTCCTTGCATCTGAACCCTCGTCAGGAAATTTTCCAAACCCAAGGAGGCTGGTGCGGGGTAGTGTATCGAAGTTGGTCACTGACTACCTGCTAGTGAGGCAGCATGAAACCCCTAAACTCTATACCCTAGACCCTAAAGTCTATACCCTAATCCCTAAACTCTATACCCTAAGCCCTAAACTCTATAGCCTAAACCCTAAACTCTATACCCTAAGCCCTAAACTCTATAGCCTAAGCCCTAAACTCTATAGCCTAAACCCTAGACTCTATACCCGAAACCCTAAACCTGACACCTTGAGTCGATTTACAAAGCTAAGGTGTCCACTGAGGCGGAACTCGTTTTCGACCCAGCGAATCATTCGATCGCCTGGTCCAACTTCATCTCCTGCTACTTGGAGGTTCATGGGTAGTTATAAGTCCCCTAATATGGGTTATAAGTATACTTACCCTACTTATAACCCCACGTATAGCTACCCATGAACCTCCAAGTACAATGCTGTGAGCTTAGAGAGCTCAGAGGTTTGGGTTTAGGGTTTACTTCGGGGTACTTTGAAATAATTTTGAATTTTTGGTTATTATAATCCCTGAGAAACAGCTAGGCTAAAACTATAAATGTTGCTAGGGTTCTAAGTTCAGTATAGTTTAGGGTTTCTCTTGTTACCTTGCTTTGAGCTTGGAGAGCTCAGAGGTTAGTTTGTACCTGAATCCTGCTTTTAGGGCTCCGTATTGCGATTTGATGACTAGGATGCCCAGTAGTACCCTTATTCCCTTTTTGTAGTCCTAGGTTCCTTGTAAAGTTACCCAATACCAAAAAGAGAGGCCTTTTTATTCTTAGGTTACTGGGTATCCTAGGATTTGATGATGTAAGCCCATAAACATTTGGGTTTTGGGGCTCCAGGTAGTGCGTAGGGTTGGGGATACATTGTCCATTCTGCATCGCTCTCAAGTATACGATGCATGATCTCTCGTGTATCGAACTGCAGTCAGTAGTCAGTATTTCGTGCGCAATGAGTGTTTCTTCTCCAGCACCCACAGAGCGCACCTCATCTGAGGCTACTGGGGCGTATTCTGTAATGGCACTGTCGTGCTCGAGGAAGGTCGCCCAGTTTGTGATGGAAGCCTTCAATGCATGAGTCTTTGTCATAGTTGGGTAACATTTTACATTTTTATGGGCATGTAAAAACCCAATAAGGAATAAACATGTTCATTTTTGAACCTATCCCAACCATGATCTAGGAGTGCCGGAGAAGGTGGGGCAGGCAGCATCGCGCCCTACCAGTCGCAGGTCCAGACAGAGATGCTGGACTCTACTAGGCAGCCATTTATAGTCATAGTATAATATGCCGGTGTTTGGAATGCTCTTTGCTTTCAGTTTTGGCTGGCGGCATCTCCGTAGTAGTACATAGGGGTTTGGGTTCGCCCGCCAATGCCCAGCACCACGCCCCCAAACTTCCACGGAGCGCACCAGCACCCGACGGCCCACACTAACATAGGGGCCTTAATAGTTACCTATACTGTTTTGCGGGGTTCCTTATCATAATTATTGTATAACGGGCCCCCAAATCCTGTTCTAATGATTAAGGCCCCCATGTTAACCACAAAGAAAAAAACCACCTCAGAGCCTCTGTAGAACCCCTCGACCCCTTAAATTATGGAAGCCTCGACGAGTACCAATGCTTACAGGTTCCGTAGTACAATTAATTAGATCATATAGTAACATAGTATACCCCAAAACCTTATTCTGATTGTTAATGCTCTATATCGTAGAGCCGTTATCGTTGTAGTAACCCTGAACCCTTCAAAGAACCCGTGAGAGGGACCCTATTTTAAATTTAAGATCATTACGGGCCCTGCACTAGAGCCTAAGGGCCTAAACCCTGAACCCTAAACCACTCTGAGCCGCCTTAAACGAACCTTGAAAAGGTACCCTAAACCCCAAATCCTAGACCCTACTTGGAGGTTCATGGGTAGTTATATATAAGTAGGGGACTTATAACCCCACTGATAACTACCCATGAACCTCCAAGTATATTATATAGGCCAAAATCTAAGGATGGACGATGCATCTCAGACCAGCTCAGCACAGTCAAGTCTCCTTGTCTGCCACCACGGAGCCTCGGTCGGTGTAGGTTTCAGGGTTAACATAGCTTGCTTGGACGTCCATCCGTTGTTACAAGTAGGGTTATATGTAGGGCAACTAAACTTATAACCCATATTAGGGGAGGGTCATAGTTTACCGGGTTTCGCGACCTTTTTGAGATCTGTTTTGGGATTGCCGGGCCTGACGGAGAGAGTAAGCGAACCGTTGCGAAGCATTTCACAACCAAAAAGTTTGAGAGCTCTTGTCGCGATAGGAATCTGCACGAGGCTCGTATTGCTGCGGCAGCTGGGAGTGGAACAAGGGCCGGCGTCAGTGTAAGGGTGGCCTTCGATGCCAGACCCCCGGAGGTAAATCTCGGCCCAAGGAGCTGGCTGCTCCCCGGCTAAGAGGAGCTGAGAAAAATACTCAGGGTGCTGTGAAGAAGGTTGAACATGAGAGGCATATGGTGGACGAAGGCAACACGACCCTTGCAGTTGCCAACTTCCTGCTCTGCTGGTATGGCTCTTACTGCCCAAGCTCAGAGCCACATGGTCAGGATCCCTCTGCGTGTTCAGTGAGCTTGGCCTGCCTCGGCCCGGCTGCAGGGACGACTTCGAACTCATCGTCTCTGGGTCATAGTTGGGCAACATTTTACATGTTTATGGGTACTTTAAACCGAGGGATAAACATGTACATGTTTAATCTGTCCCAATAAGAAAAACTGTCATTTTAATGCGAAATTGTCATTTTTAATGAGATCCCATAGATGAACAAGGTCTGCAGATGACTCGGCAGCCGCACGTCCAAGAGCTCGCCTGGTCTCCTGTCCTTTCGGAACGGCGTGTCAGGGCGGATGGTACCTGGAAGACGGCACCAAGAAGTGCCGCGGGGTGATTTCTTGCACAAGGCAAGCTGCGGGCGATGGAGATCAGGGCCTCCCCACTGGACCTTAGGAATTCGAATTTTGTGGGACTTCACTCGAGAATTTAAGTCACTGTAGAGCGAGACCTCTTGTAAGTTCCCTGTGCAAGTCTTATGTACAGCAGGGTGTTGCGCTACCGGCAGTACCTACAGTTATCCACAGTTCATCTCCGACTATCGGAGATCGGATTCCTTCGGACCGAAGGAAGCGAGAGCTGCTGGCTTTGATGGGCGAATAAGGATCTTATCGGGTGTGTTTGGGGGTGTATTTTGCTTTTTATAGGTCAACCTTTTGTGGCTGTTGACGCCATACAGCCCACTGCAGTAAGGCCTCTCTAGCAGCTTCGCTTCCTCACGAGTCCCGGAGTTGTTGACCTGGGAGTTCTGATTTCTACCGGAAAAAGTGTCCGAGTGGCTCTTTCATGGCTTTGGTCGTAGGCTGTAAGGGCTTCATAATTACCTATACCATTTTTTCTTGGGAGGGTTCCTATATTACAAGTACGGTTTAATGGGCCTCAAAACCCTATGATTAAGGCCCCTATACTAGGCTGTAGGGGTGTGGTGCGTTTCGGGCTTTGGGCTCCGAGTTTCTGCTAGGCAGCCATGTCTTGGCACAGCCTGCGGGCCCCATAGCTTTGTGGTGTCCCCTACAACTCCAGATACCCAAATAGTAGGTTTGCACCTAAACCCTAAACCCCAGAACCCTGAGCCGTACCAACCATCTGTTACGCAGCCCAGAGACCTAAAGGCCCAAGGAGTCTTGGGTGAAACTCAAGACCTTGCGCCCCAAAACCCTAAAGCCTTGGGGTTATGCTTTCAGGCCCGAATCCCTAAACCCTAAACCCTAAGCCCTAAACCCTAAGCCCGAATCCCTAAACCCTAAGCCCTAAACCCTAAGCCCGAATCCCTAAACCTTATAGGTCAGTTTGAAGCATGTTGCCAGATCTCCAGCTTTCGATATTGGAAGCATGAGGTGTGAGAGCTTCAGTGAACTCTGGAAGGGGTTTAGGGTTTAGGGTTTATCTACTCTCGTATAATACAGTAAAGAAGCACCCAAGTCTCCGACGATGCTGCCAAATAAAGCCAACTGGCAAGAACCAGCGCTTCTGGCGAGTTTTTTATGTACTGGAAGGGCCTTTAATAATTAGACTATGCCATTTGGTGTAGATTATGCTGGCTCTTAACAAGGAACCCCAAAACAGTATGTGATTATGAAGAGCCCTATACTAAACGCCCCTAATACCCCTTATTGTAATCCTTACAGGCCCCTTTAAAAGGAACCCTTAAAGGAACCCCAAAACAGTATAGGTGATTATTAACACCCCAAAACTATGCGATTTTCCGAAGTGGGACAGCAAGGCTTCAGTCGCTCCGAGTACACCCACACTTTTCGACAAGCCCCAGTTTAGGGCTATAGGGTTTAGGGTTTAGGCCCTTAGCATCCCTAAATCATGAGTCCCGTTACAGAACCGGCATCTGCCGGTCGCTCGCCTGTAGGCGTGCTGTGGTATGCTTCGGGGGCTGATATGCAGCCGGAAGGCCTGTGGGTTTCGGGTCAAGAGAGCTTTGGGTGTCAGGGTTTCGGGTCAAGGGCTTCAGTTCGGGTTTGCGTTGTTGTTCTGTTGTGTACGGGGTGTTTGGTTTTGGAGTTTAGGATGCGGAACCCATCAACGTGGCTGCACTGTGGAGTGACTTTGGCTGCAGGACTTGAGGTTTGGGGATCACAGATGTACTGCACTAAAGCCTGAACAGTGGTGAGTATTTCGCTGTTCTACCGGTATCATAGCATACCCGATAGCCCTGATATACTGATACACATGTACATGTAGGGTTTAAGGTTACAGCTTACCAGATGAAAAGCGTCATGATTGGAATGACACCCCCCTCAGCTTGTACAAAGTTGGTGCCTTACGGTTTCTTGGTACGTGTTTTCGCTGGGCCATTTTTGCATGGGATCTGTTGCTCATGGTCTTCATGGGCTCACGGCTTAGGGGTTTGGGGTTTGCAGGGTTTAGGGGTTTAGGGTTTAGGTAGTACCTTAGGCAAGTTGAACCCTGAATCCTTTTCAGATCAACATGCGTACTAACCGCAGCAGGAGAGCCAACAAGAGGACCCGCATCGTTCCACGTAAACCTTGAACAACTTACCTAATGCACCCGAAACCGACACGACGCGATGAAGCCCACGGGCGCAGAACATAGGGGTCTGAAGAATTCGTAACTGAGCCCGTTCAGGCCCCTTTCTGATACATCCCGATCCGGCCATGATGATTGCGGTGGATTTCATGGGGGGTTTGGTGTTGGGGGCTCGGCCCTGGTTTTATAGCGATCTCCTTGCAAAGGTGCTGCTACTCTATCGGCTGTCCTTGCAGGTGGTCCGAAACCCGAACTTCCATACCACCCTAAACCTTCTAAACTCTGAACCCCTAAACCCTAAACCTTCTAAACTCTGAACCCCTAAACCCTAAACCCTAAACCCAGGCGTAAAAAGGAGTTCAAAAAAAAAAAACCTAAACCCTAAACCTAGCCTGACTTGTGAAACAACACACCCGACGTGTACAAGCACCCACTGTGCGCCCTACACCCTAAACTCTCCGTGACCGGGAAGGTCCTCTGCTCGCTGCGCTTGCTGATGACACCGCTACAGTGGATCTCACGGAGGTGTGTCAGTGCTTTCTGTTTCGGGGTTTAGGGTTTTGCGTGTTTGGGCTTGCGCCTCTAGAGCCCTATGAACTAAATCCGTAAACCCTAAGAGCGCTCGGAGGTTCAAGTCTACGATTACAAGGCCGTATGTATCTCGGTGTACGCTTGCAGATCGAAATGCTTCTAGTTTTGCTGCACGCTGAAGTGCCTGTGAGCTTCAGTTTTACATCTGACGGTGCGCTCATCGTCACTCTCAGAGTGCCTCAACCTAACCCCTAAATCATAACTCGAAGCCCGCAACAGGCCTGTCGGATCCCTTTGCAAGCCTTTCTAGACAACATATGTTACTGATACTCTACCACTGCGTGCCACTACGAGCACGGGCGATGAGAAGGCACCATTCGCTTGAATACACGACTCTGCGGAGCATTGCCAGTGTTGCTGTCCATAAAACGGACGTGACTCGGTCGGGCCAACTTAAGATGAACAACTGAAGCCCCGTTCGGAATAGGGACTCGTGCGCAAGTTCCTCTAGATACTTTTTCGGGTTTTTTGGTCATGAGTGGTACCTTAACCCTGAATATCCTACCTTTTTAAGGACTCATATAAGGAAATCATAATAAAGAACCCTAAAAAGGTAGGATATTTGGGGTTAAGGTAGGGTATAGTACGGCGCCGGCGCCAGGCCCCGAGCTACCAGTTGTCCTGCCTCGCGCTACTCGGCCGCATCACGATCAGCTCCGGTTGTGTTGTTGGAGAAAAACAAGGGACACCAAAGTCTAATTCTAATATCACCTATCGTAGGATCCTTATTTTCAGGAAAAACTTGCTTAAACGGGACCCTGCATTTTCGGAAAGCCCCATAAGGTTTCAGCGGTCTAGATGCAGAGCAGGTCCGATATCTGCACTTAGAGACTCAGAGAGGAGTTTGAAATGTTTCAGCAGACGAAGGCCCTGAACCCTGCTAAACCTTAAACCCTATAAATCCCTAACCCCTAAGCCCTAAAGCCACTGGGATCTCTCTGGAAAAGGCTCCGAGCAAGGCTCTCAAGTGTCCACCCTTCTTACGGAAGTTTCAGGGTTTCAGATATGAGGGTTACTCCAAGGGTTTCTCTAAAACAAAGGGAGCTACGTTGGCGGTAACGTGCACACCCAACATCCCCAAGAAATCTCAAGCTTCATCGATCCAAATGCCCAGCTCGCCAGAATAGCACAGTGGTTCCTCGCTCTCAACGGAAGATTGTGAAGATACTGGCTTCGACAGAACTAACCACTCTACCGGCTGATGTTCTGAGCAGCATGGTCCTGAAGCCGTTGCTTCTTACAGGTGTCAGTCTTGTCTTGACCCAAACAAAAGCATTGCATGTTGCGCTTAATTACACTGCATTATACAGCGCGCACACACACACACACACGCAAACAGTCTCACACAGCGACTTGGGTAGGTTGCCATGGACATGAGTCTTAAATCAACAACCCCTCGACCGCAATTCGTGCTTAAGCGCTAAGGCCCAGAATCCTGAAAGCCAACTATGAACCACCGAACCATGCGCTCAGCACCGTAAATTTCGAAAACTGAGCTATGTTGGCTCTTGTAACCCTTAAGCCACGAAGACGAACTATTACGAGTGAACCAAACTCCCCTGTTTCGAGGCAAGCTGCTGCGAAGCTGAGGCTGAGGCCTTTTGTTAGTCCGCATGCATTTTGGAGGGCTCCATGAGTTTCGGGTTTAGGGGGGATCCCTACTAATCGCTTCCCCCTAGTTAACCCCCCGCCCTAATATAAAAACTCCCGGCCCAGGGAATTTTGCGGTTTCGGGTCCCACGTTCAATTTAAAAGGGACAATATTAGGGGGGGGGGGGGGCTAGATCTGTATGTGTTTTAATTGAACGAAGATTACAGTAGTACTAAAGACAGCAGAGCTTTAGGGTTGAAGGGTTTAGGGCTCAGGGCTAAAGCTTTAGGGCTTTGGGGCTTAAAGTTTAGGGCTTAGGGCTTTAGGGTTTGGGGCTCGAGGTTTAGGGCTTAGGGCTTTAGTAGGGCCTCAGGGCTCCAGGCTTAGGATAGCTAGCAGCTGGGAGTCCGGGACGTGGATGCACCGAAACACCCCCTAATATAAAAACTAAACATCCGAAATCCAATTTTTATATTAGGGAGGGGGGGGCTTTAATATTAGGGGGAAGGGATTAACTAGAACTTCAGAAAAATCGAACGTTCCCAACTTACAGAAGGGATTCCGCTGGTCTTTGGGCAATGAGCTGAAGAAATGCTAATGGGTATCGGCTTTCTCGTCCGTGTTTGTCGTTTAGCTGGGACGCCTTTCCAAGTTTGTCAGCCGTCTTATGCATAGTGTCAGTCGTCCCGCGACGTCGGCTTTGTCTAGGAAATGGGACGAGCCAACATTCAACTGTCAAGCACCCAAGGACCAAGTAGTAGAGTAGGTACCCTTTAACCTTTTTGGGAACTCTGGTCCCTATATAATCCCTATATAGCCAAAACGGTTAACCTTTAGTTCCCCGTGATACCCGACAAGTAGGAGGAATGCCTGCCGCAGGGCACCTACCTATAGTCTCCATTGTAGTTCCTTTTTTGGTTAACCAAAACCTCTATTATAGGGTCCTAACCATAAAACTGGTTAACCAAAACAGGAACTACAATGGAGACTATAGGTAGCAATCAACCTTCACCACTAAGTAGGCACCCAAACCCCAGAGCCTAAAGAATTCAGACGTCAGACCCTGTAGCCCATGAACCGCTGAGACCCTGAAAACCCCAACAAACCTGAAACCTTGCAGGCCGACATGAACCCTTCTAAACCCTCTAAAGAATCACAACTCCGAACTCCTCTATCAGAATCTTCTAAACAACCTAAGCCTTATTGGAACCGAACCCTTGTAACCGCATTTCTGTAGAATCCTAAACCCTATACGAACCCCTATACAACTTGAAACCCGAAACCCTACTATGATAGGAAAACATGCAGCACCCTATATCCTAGACCATAAACTGGCTTCAGGGCCCCCGGTCTTCTCTCTGCCGCCGCAGACGCAACCCGAAGGCGCGCAGAGGCCATGGCGCTCACCACGCAGGAGAGGGCCGGCTGTCTAAGGGTTCTTTAAGGATGCAGGGTTTAGGGGTTTAGGGTTTCGGGGCTAAACCCTACATAATATTAAGGGTTCATGGGGCTTTAGGATTTTAGGGTTCAGGGTTTAGGGTTGAGGGTCTTGAATTTCAGGGTTGCAGGGGTTTCCAGAGAGGCTTGGAAAGGGTTCGTTTACTCGGGCTCCGGTTGAGGGCCCACGGTCGCAAGTTCAGGCTTGAGGCATCGACCGGTCCGGTCAGGGTTTCGGGGTTGCAGTTGTGGGCTTAGGATTGAGATTTGTAGCCCAGTCTCTCCTTCCTTAGGTAAAGCCAGTAAGTTAGAGGGCATGAAAGGGTTCGGACAAATTCAGTTGTCATAGGAATGCCAGGTTCAGCCGTGCCCGGTCTTGCAACATGGCTCGTCGCAGTCCCATCTAGGGTTCTGTGTTTAGGGTTTAGGCTCTTAAAGGCTTCAAGGCTGTGGGGTTTAGGGTTTAGGGTTCGGGTTCCTTACGAGGCCTTGTTGGGCAAGTTGTTGCTAAAGTAGGAACCTGATTAGGAAACCTTGGGTCTTTCTTAGGGTTGCTTAAGGTTTAGGGTTTTAGGGTTCCTTATGTGAACCCTACTATTTTGGGGTTATAGTCCCAGGGTTTCTTAATCAGGTTCCTAGATTACACTGTTACATCCTGCGCAGAAAGGTGCAACCGCAGTTCTACAAAACACCCGTTTATGCGGACAGCTACACCCTAACCCGAAACCCTAAACTTAAACCGTTTCATGAACAGCTTATGGCTCAAGTATACAAGGCGTTCATGGAGCACTGAAGCAGGGAGCCACCAATCGCCAACAGTGTGGGGTTTAGGGTTTTGTCCAGCATAGGCAGCTCATGTCCCGACTCAACCATGAGCGTCTGAATTCCCACCCCACACCTTGGATGCACAACCCCAAAACATGATGGCGGCAAACGGCATCAGGGCCTGTGAAGCAGAACACTGAATTCCCGTCGCACACGTTGCAAGGTCTGCTCGAGCTTCCCCTAGCAAGTAACACAAGCATGTACACACACATACATATACATATATACATATATATATGTATACATATATATATATATATATACGTATATGTCTACATCTCCAAATTCTTATACACAGATACATATACAGGGCCGGTTCCGGGCTCAGCCCTGACCATGTCGAGCTCAAGTGACAGCTCGGACTCCTCGGAGAGCGAGGAGGAGAAGAAGAAGCCGCTCTGCCTCAAAGATGAAGTGGGCTGTTTAGTAAGCCAAGGGTAAGCTTAAGGGTTTAGGGTGTAAGCTTAAGGGTTTCGGGTTTAAGTTTCGGTACCATGCAAGAGGAAGTTCCTTTCCTCAAACATGAAGTGGGCGGTCAAATAACGTGAAGGCTATATTTGTTAGAGCTACTATAAGAGTTAGAGGCCTAGTTTTTTCCGGGCTACTATATGGTGGGCAGTTTAGTAAGTCAAGGGTAAGCTTAGGGGCTACTATAATCGGGTACCATATGGGTTAGTACTATGTGGTACTACGTGGTTTACTTTCAGGGTTACTACAAAGGTTTCCCGTGTATAATGTGGGTTGTTTTTGACTGAGGGGCTTCGGTGTTTAGGACCTGTTTAGGGTTGACAGGTTTATGGGCTCGTTGTTGACGGGTGTAGCAGTTACGGTTAGGGTTTCAGAGATTCAGGGTTTTAGGTAACATATATCCATTTCGGGCTTGGGTAGATCCCCTCGCAGAGTATGAGAGTTACGCTATTCAGCCTTTAGAAAAATAGTGGACAAGTTATTGCTGTAAGACTGTTGAACCTCAAGGGCTTTCGGACCTTTGCATACTTAACGCAGCCTGCAACGTTGTGGTGGCCTATATGATCTGAGCATAGTTGAAAGGCCAGATTATATAGAGGCCAGGGAACTCATGAGCTTGGGGGGTTCATGGCCGCAGTCGTGTAGGCTCAGGAACTTTCAAGGTAAGGGCAGAATCCTTCATTTCAAGCTTCAAGTTCTCCATTGTTAACCTTACCAGACAAGATATGTATTTAGGACCCGGGCCACAACTTACAAACACACACACACAGACACACCCACACACACACACACACACACACACACACACATGCGGGCATGCATGCACGCAAACACGCACAAATGCACATCCACCGGACTCGAATGTCCCCAAACTCGGAGTCCTTCATCCAAACCGACACGGGATTCTAAACCCCAAGTCGCGGAATCCCGAGAGACTGTTTCGGAAAACCGAGATCTTAGTCATTAGTGCTCAAGCTGAAAGTCTGCCCAGGAAAGACAAGAAGAAGGCTCCACCCCGCGTTGCATCGTTGGGGGCTGTATTACCTTCTAGGTTGCTGCCCGCTGCTCCTGCAGGCCAAGAAGAAAGACAAGGATAAGAAGAAGAAAGGTGACAAGAAGAAAAAAGATAAAAAGCTACCCGGCTGCAAGCTCCGCAAGCTATCTGTAGTCTCCATGGTAGTTCCTTTCTTTGATTGAACAAAATAAGGAGCTTACCCCCAGAAGGAACTACAATGGAGACTATAGGTAATTTCGGTTTCATGATGACGGTCTGACAGAAAGCCAACGCGACTCCTCACTGAAAGTGCTTTCCGAGCTGCCCTGAGCCCGCCTGAATTCCCCGCCTGCGCCTTTCAACACTTCCCATCATCACAGCATCGTTATCATCTTCATCAGCGGCAGCCGCATAAGCAGGCAGGCAGCACGGATTGAGCCGTTTCGGCTGGCTGGGTATGCAAGAACGAATCCCATAAGGATGAATCGGGTATACTATGCTTCTTTCCTCTCGTAGTCGGGGCAGAACGGGAATCCTGTTACCAACTATTCCGACCCCTTTCTTAGGCGTGTCGAACAGAAGCGAGCGAGCGACAGGGGAACCGTGGCAAGCCCAGACAGGAAGAGTAAGAAAGACAAAAAGAAAAAGAAGAAATCGTCTTCTGATTCCTCGAGCTCGGACAACAAGAAGGCCAAAAAGGAGCGGAAGAGGAAGCAGGACAGCCGCCGTAAGGTGCAGGGCAAGCCTGAAACGGTAGCTTCAGCAACTACTTGTTGTAGTTTTGGGTAACTTCATGTGTACAAGATTGTGCTGAAAGTTGTCTATGATCCCGCCTTGGCGCCACTTGAGCTAAAATCCCTACTAACCCTAAACCCGTGTGTGTGTGTGTGTGCGCGCTGAAAGGCAGGCTAGGCGTAGAGTCACGAAACTTAAACAAAGCCCTGTTTAAAACAAGTCCTGAACCCTGCACCCACTGCAGCACCTTGCTTACCTGAGCTGCGCCGTCGACTCGGATTGAAGTTCCCCTTCCCCTTTGCGGCGAGTTCCTGTGCAGACCGCGCTCGCGTCTTTGGGACGGATGCCGCTTTAGGGGAACACTTCTCATTCAATTGAAAAAATTGCATGCGAACCTGTCGCTCCAACATGCACATTAAGCTCCCTTGCTTGCTGTTTGCCTACCTGCCTGCAGGAAGAAGACAACGCGAAGAATGCGCCCCTCGGATCTTGTATATGTTAACGAGATGCTGCCTCTCTCTCTCTCTCTCTCTCTCTCTCTCTCTCTCTCTCTCTCTTTATCTCTCAACACTCAATCGCCGAAGCTCATTTCGCCGCCCCGAAACCCGCAAAACGTTTGGGCGAGAATAGAAATGACAGGATTTATACACCTGCGTTTGATTGAAAGGCTGCAGTGCGTGAAGGTGGCCTATACCCAGAGGCTCCATAAGATTTCCTTTTACGGGTTCGTATTATTTAGAACCCTATGAGGCAATCCCAAAAAGGAACTACTATGCAGCCTATGGGTAAGGAACCTGCATGGCAAAGACGTCACCCTTCCTCGCCAGTGAACATCATGTCTGCACAGCATCTGTGTGTCAGGGAAGGGCTGCGGTGCTAGGCTGGTAAGTCGAACTGCAAGCATGAAGTGTTCTGGTCATCCACTCCAAACATTAAACCCTACCCTAATACTTAAGCTCTCTTAACATGTCCTCCCTAAGCCCAAACCCTAAAGAAACCCTGAACCCGAATACACCTTTTTAAATTCTCGAAGCCTGAAACCTATCAACAAGGCTAAGCCGAACCCTTCGTTCCCTGTGTCAAGATGCTTTCAAGCCTTCTTGGGGGTTCATGGGTAGTTATAAGTGGGAAAATAAGTCCCCTAATATGGGTTATAAGTATTGTTCCCCTACTTGTAACCCTACCTATAACTACCTATGAACATCCAAGTTGAGGCTGCAGAATCCTTGAAGTACACGTTCCGCATGAAGTGTCCATGCCGTGCTCTCCGGAACAGACTCTTATTGAGGGGCATCACAGCCCCATGGGCCCGCAATGCGTAGAAGCTCAAACTCCTAGGTTCTAGATAATGTGTAAATCCCAAGTCAGGCAGGCAGCTGAAACCTCGAATCCGAACTCCCCCAAAGCCTATGCACGCCCAATACTTGGCAGTTTCAGGTGGCTTGCCACTAAGATGCGAGAGCTGAGAAAGGGTGATGCGCAGCTAGCCTGCACTGATTCCTCGTGTCTGAGTCGAGAGCTGTTAATCGGGGGGCTCAAAGCCTGCGGTCTCCCGGGTCATACAGAAGCCGACATACTTACCAATACTATTCTTAGGGTTCCTTATGATAGCCATACCATAAAGAAGCCCCAAAGCTCATTAAAGTTGCTACATAGAAGCCTAAATAAATAATTATAATGGTTAGCGTCAGTGACTATATCACAAAGGAGCCCAAACCCTTCTCTAATTGTTGAGGCCACTACTTTATGTGGGTTGCGGGTATCGGCTGTGGAGTTGTGGAGATCACCTTAAGCTGCTTCGCTTCTGGTACGGTTTAAGGGTATTTTAGGGGTTTAGGGGCTTAGGATGGTTTAGGGAAAATTGGGTGATTTAGGGTTATTTAGGGGTTTAGGGTCATTTAGGGTTTAGGGGTTTAGGGTCTTTATTTGCGGAACTTTTTGAACAGTCAGCATCG